TTGTCCGCGTTTATTGCTTTTTCAGTTAATCAATTGCATGTTAATATTCACAGGAGACAGCTGCTCGAAGGGAAGAAGCTTGGGCTGGTGTGGAGAGAACCTTAAACTCTCGCCTTCAGGTTTGTTAAAAAAATATGTTTTAATTGTAGCTGCATAAATGCAATGAAGAAAACTTGAATTATAAGGTTTGTCTTTTCTTAATGCATCATGTATAATCTGATGTTTTGCTTGAATATGCAGGAAGCAGAAGCTAAAGCTGCTGCTTCAGAAGAAAAGGAGCGGTCTATAAATGAGCGACTCGCGCAAAGTTTATCCCGGATAACTGTTCTTGAGACCCAGGTTAGTATATCAATTTCTAGCAAAACAAAAATATGCTAGTATTAGTGTTAAGACCTCACTTTCAGATTTATAGCCAAGTAATTTTTGGGGTGACTATTGGGTCATGCAGATTACAATTCTTAGAACAGAGCAGACACAGCTGAGTCGATCTCTTGAAAAGGAGAGGCAGAGAGCATCTGAAAGTAGACAGGAGTACCTAACAATTAAAGAGGAGGCAGCAATGCAAGAAGGGCGGGCTAAACAGCTCGAAGAAGAGATAAAGGAGCTTAGAGCTAAGCACAAGAAGGAGCTGCAAGAAGCAGCAGAACACAGGGAACTGCTTGAGAAGGTAGTTAACTGCGATAGTTTCAGAAAAAATAGTTGGACCAGCTATGTATGTTAGTAGTTTTAGGACTGTATGAAAGTGATGTTTTCCTGCCAATTTTGTTAATGTCTCTAGAATTTATGACTTAAAAAATGGTTAGTTTATGTCATATAACACAAACATTGATCTCTGCTATAAGTCTTTTTTTAGGACCATTGCTTTTTTCTTAGCCAAGCAATTTTTTTTATGTCATTGATCATATTGTTGCTACCGAAAAGGTAATAAATGATCAGATCAGTTCAAGTTGCTTGTTGATACTTGAATAAACATAATTGCAATGTATGTGATATTTTCTTTCATGAATTGCACTTACAGGACCTTGAAAGGGAAAAGGCTGCCAGAGCAGAAATTGAGAAAACATCTTCCCGTGAAGCACCTAAAGTTCCACTTCCCGATCAGACAAGTACGCCTTTTATTTTCATACCAATTAATTTAGGCCGAGTTAGATCCAACTTTGCCTCTTGTTGTTACCTTACCATTCTTTTTAACTGTTTCCTATTTTGCTCTTTGAAGGAAATGCCCCTCTCAGAAAGCTGTCTAGTTCTGGCAGTATAAATAGCCTAGAAGAAAGCCATTTCCTTCAAGCATCGTTGGATTTATCTGACAATGCTTCATTAGAGAGGCGAATGTCTTCAGAAAGTAATATGTTGTATTATCTGAGGACCATGACTCCAAGTGCTTTTGAGTCAGCACTTCGTCAAAAGGATGGAGAGCTTGCTTCTTACATGTCTCGCTTGGTATGTATAAGCATCCTTCTGATATTTCTCCTGATTTCCTCAAACTGTTTAGTTAGTACCCCATTAAGTTTTATCACCTTTGTCTTGCTGGTAAACAATCGTAGTAAACTTCTAGAAGTGGTAGCTGATTATTAGAACTATGAGCTTCAATAATTACAAGCTTTGCAAATTTATTGATGAGTTTTCTTGTAACTGAGTTCATTCATGTCCATAAACATATCTTTCACACAGCTTTTTTTAACTAACTTTGCAACTTCCAAATTGTCAGCCATGATTTGGCAACATTTTTTTTTTGGCCAAAAACTGGATTTTTCTCTCAGTTGGTTCCTGGCTAAGGCAGCCGAGCAGGCTCAGTTGTTTGTGGTGTGGTTGTACGCCTATACCACCAACGTTCAAGTACTTGTCGAGGCAAATTGGGTGTCAATTTTCTTGATATAAAAGCTGCCTAGTTCCTCCTGGTTGATCTAGGGTTTTTTTTTTCAGTGTCTCCTGGCTAACTTCTATTGAGCAGCATCTAGAATTTAGCAGGGAAGTTATTGGCACTTGGCAGGAAATGATATCTGCTGCCAACCTGTGCCCCATCCTGCACTGGTTCAATAATCCTTAGTACCTTCAGATTCATGCATCACACTCATCTTTCATGTTCAGAAGTGGAAATTGTTCCTTCGGGTGGTCTTGGAACATATTCTGATAAAGAAATGTTCCTACAATATCTGAAGTCATATGTGCTGGGCTGCTGGCGACCTTCCTAGTTCTATTATTTCTTTCAATACTTTTTGCTATAATATTCATTTAGACAGCAGTCACTCAAACTTCATTATTTCATTTTCATTTATCATTTGTTACTCTGATTTGATCTGCGCCTTCTTCTTGGAAGTAATGTTGTTGTGTATTTCAGGCTTCATTGGAATCTATTCGGAATTCACTGGCGGAGGAGTTGGTGAAAATGACAGAACAAGTAAATCCTGACAATCTAATCAGAGTTTACACCTCTATCTGTCTATACATCTGTGCAAACTGAATTGAACTTTTATGCAGTGTGAAAAGTTACGGACTGAAGCTGCAGCTGTGCCTGGCTTGAGGGCTGAATTGGAAGCTCTGAAACAAAGGCACTTTCAAGCTCTAGAACTCATGGGGGAACGTGATGAAGAGGTATTGCTCCTATGCTACACATCATAAGCTTCACTAATAAGTAGTTGATTGTGTTAATGGCTTCATCGTGAGCTATACAAAGCACCCTTGGTTTAACAGCTGTGTTTCTGTTTACATGTTTTTCGGGGTACATTCTGCTTAGCCCAAGCTAGGCTTAAACGTTGTTTGAGTAAACTGTGCCAACAAGCATAAGCTTACGAATATTGCATGTGTATCAGTCAGACAAAAACTAGTTTGTTTTATAAGATGGGGAAACAAAACTTTTTTCAGTGTCAGAGGGGGTATGAACTAAAGCAAGAGTTAGGCAGAATCATCGGTTAACATTTAGGTAAGCTATAAGCTAGAATATGAACAATGGCTGTAACAACGTACAGTTTGGATTTCGAACACTCATGGGCAGTTCAGTTAGAAAATAAGAAGTGATATAATTTATTCTATGTTTTCGAAATAATCTTTGTTTACTGTGTAAAAATACCTTTTATTATATGCTTACTTTAATTTGATGCTGTTTTGCAGTTGGAGGAGCTAAGAAATGATATTGTTGACCTAAAAGAGATGTACAGGGAGCAGGTGGATCTTCTTGTTAGCCAGGTTTGAAGCTTGCTTGCCCATTTCTTTTATACCTTCCACTGCAATGGCCTATAGTGCTGTTGCGCTAAACCCTGTTTTATCCCTTACCAGCTCCAGGCATTGGGTGCTCGTGTATAGTGCTGGTATGGATTTGTCGTGCCAACTAATTCTTGTCCAGTGCATTGGGCAAGGCAAGACAGGTCTGCGACTTGAGCATGTTTTCTTTGAAATTTTGTGACCATACAACGGCACTGAAAATATTTGTTTGTATACATCTAAACACCTTCGGGGTCGGGTTTAGGAGGATACGTTGTTGTATACTAGATGGAGTAGTTTCACAGTTTTACGTGCATTCTTTGTGATTTGTTTCCATTGAAACGTATGAAAAATTGAATCCACTTGCAAGTGTACCTCAGAGGAATGCAATCAATAATATCGAGAGCTTTTTTTTGTCCCTTTTTGTATGTTCTCAGTTTCATTTCATTCTTAGAGATCATGTGGAACTGTGTAAGCAACACTGATTCCATGATAACAATCGTTCAGTTCTTTTTATCGCTGGTTTCTGTTCAGGCCTTTCGAGTTTCTGTCCTTTTCATTAATTCCTTTCCTATTGTAAGTTTGTAACCAAAGAATTAAAGAAACTACAGGAATTTTGTTTGAAATTAGTATGAAAGATTTGTTATGCACTAATGCTACAGCAGTCAAGTTCGCAGCTCTGCAGAAGAACGAAGCCTGAGCCACTCTGTAGTAGTGCTGCCGGCCGTCCGCGCCGAGGCTCCTGACGCGCGACGCGAGCGCGCCAATCTTGGGCCCGACCACGAGCGCCACGCGCACCGCGGCCTTGACCACGGCGTACGCGGCGACCGCGCGCGCCAGCCTCAGGTCGGCCGCGGCCGAGTCGGCGACGCGCGCGGCCAGGCCCGCGAGCCTGCGCGCGTCGGACGCGGCGAGCGTTGCGAGCAGCGCGCCCGCAAGGGAGGCCAGCAGCGCCAGGGAGGCGGCGACGAGGAGCCCGCCGGAGAAGGCGCAGACGTAGAGGAGCGCCACGAGGAGGCGGCCCAGGTGGTGCGCCATCGCCGTCGCGTGCTCGCGAGCCACCGAAGGCAGCCGCGGGGAGAGGAATCGTGCCTTTGCATTAGCTTGGGATCTCTCGTCGCTGCCTTGCCTGCATGGAGCGCTTGGTATGCTTCCAACGGTGGCAACTGGCAAGCGTCGGGCAACTGAACTTGCAGTTGCAGGTTCCCACTCGTCAGAAACTATCGTGTATAAGAGGGGTGGCATCAGCTGCAACATGCTATCTAATAATTAATAGTTAGTCCCAAAGAGCTGTTGGGCTGATAACACTGTACCATGACTAATAAGCCAGGCTGATAAGTTCAAGCGAATAGAATTTCACAGTGAAAAAGCCGAGCTCTCACCTCACTGTATTTTTATGCCGCGAAACCATAGTAGACCAAAGAGAATGAGTTTTTTGTTTTTTAGCTTTTTTTTTAATTTTTTTACAAATATGCTCCTGGAGGATGGTTTTAAAATCTGGACCCTTAACTCAGCGCCATCGTTGGTGGCGCTGAGCTTACACGTCTCGGCACCATAGATTTTGGCGCCTAGGTATTAGGCTCGGCGCAGACGTGGCGGTGACTTGGTAGGCACCTTGGCGCAGTAGATCTTGACGCTGAGTTTGGCACCGTGGTTATTGGTGTCGAAAACGGCGCCAAGATCTATGGAGTCGAGGTAGTGTTTTAACCCGGCGCCCAACCTTCCTGCCCGAGCCTTCTTCTCTTTTTTCTCCTCCCTCTCGGGATTTTTCTCTTCCCACTTCGTCCTACCTCACCAATCGGCATATTGGAACTTGGAAACTTTAATTTGATTCGTAGATCTTCGAGAGCAAGGTATCCTCGTTCCCTCCTAATTTTTTTCAAATCGATTCGGTATATATTAGTCGGATTTTTCAACTTAAGAATCGTCATTACTTAGGGTTTCATGCAATTTTAATATTTATATTATACAATCGTAGGATGCCAAGGAGTGGAAAAGCTACCAAACCAAGGTAACATCAGCGCACGTTGTTATGATATGGGTTCATTGTTGTGGATCAAATGGAAAACCATATGTGTAGGGTTTAATGTTAATTGCTTTCGGTTCTTAGAACGAAAATTGCTAAATTATAGTTATGTCCGGATGACCGAAAATGCCTTCGACCCATTGCCTTTGTCTAGTGGTGTTCCAGTGCCCATGCGCTTTTGCGGCAATCCTTGCAAGGTAGCCAAGTCCGATGAAGAGGACACATATAGGCATAGGTATTGGATGTGTTTTAATTTTGCGTTTGAGCCCACACTTCGTCAGCGCCGCATTAACAAGATGGTGAGAAATTGATGTTTGTGTCATATGACATCTTGCATGATTTTTTTTGTTTTATAACAATTGCATTTTTTACAGACCCCTCCACCGCTCTGTGATTTTGAGCAGTGGATCGACACTGAGATCAAGCCTGAAGACAAGGAATGGATGCAGAACTGTTGTGGTGGGAGGCAGAGGACAAAGAGATGATGGAGAAGAGACATGGAGAGGGGGCTGCAGAAAAGGAGCACAAGGAAGAGGAGGAAAGGAGGCGTGTTGCTACGTACAGGGAGAAGAGGGAGAAGAAGCTTGAGCGTGCACGTAGAGCGAAAGCAGCGATGGAGGAGAATTTCGATGCCTTGAGGAAGGAAAAGTGGCCTCGTTGTACTTAGTAGTCTCCATTACTTGCTAGTTCTATGGTTTATTCATGAACAATGTTGTCTATTGTTGGACTTTTCATTATATTGCCATATAATGCACTTTAAGTATGGGCATGCTTAGGTCATATACTGTGTTATTTAGTTTGTCGGCACGTACTTCTAGTATTATTGTATTGTTTAATGTGTCATAGTATTGGACTTTTTATTATGTAGTTGTTTTCATTATTTGTGGTCATAGTATTCAGTTTAATATTGTGGACGTAGTGAAATATGATCACGTGCTGCAAACAAAACCTAACGAGGTAGGGCATTATATAATTCAACACACAAAACACATAAAATAACATGTGAGAATATGTACCGAACTAGGGTACAGAGGTCCTGAACTAAACCTAACATGCCTTAGGTAATTGAAGCGAACAACAAGCACAAGAAATGACATGTGAGAACATGTACCAAACAAGGGTACATAGTTTCTTCGACTAAACCTAACATGCCTTAGGTAATTAAACCAAACAACAAACACATAGATGTGCCATGTGAATAAGATAGGGTCGTCCTAGTAGTGTGGCCACATAGCAAATTATGTTGCACCTTCTCCACAGTAGCCTCCCATTATTGGTGGTGGTGGTGGCGGGGGTGACGGCGGAGACCCCTTGTTCTTCTGATTTGGGCAGGTGCAATATGGATCATTGCAGAGTGCCTCCTGTGAACTTGCACCATTATTGTTGTCGTCGTCTTCGTATGCCGGGTCGAGCAGGTGGAATTGCGTCATCCTACAAAAAAAGTCAATAAAATAGAAATTCAATATACAATGAAACATAAACTTAGAAATGTACAAGTAATTGACATAATTACAAACATAAATTGAGATATGCATAATTAATTGAATGAATACGACAAATATGAAATAATAAAAACAACCAATAATCGCACCTCACTAATCTGCCAATGACAAGTGCGTGAATTGTGGCCCAGTCTACCGCACTTGTCGCACTCGTACTGCTCGGGGTCAGTAAGAAATGTGTTCCTCTCCCACGCCTCATTCTTTTGAGTATCTGATCCATAACCATCATGTGCCTCGTCCTCTTCCTTGATCCACGCTTATTCCAACGGTAAGCTGGATCCGCAGTATACTTTGGCCCATCATATGGAGACCACTCTCCAGGGTCCCAGAAAGGCACGAAGCGGGGGCTCCATGTGTGCACAAGCGTGTCGACACTTAACTCGTGAGGTATCCTGCTCTCGATATTAAAGTTGCGATGCCTAGCTGCTGCCACCAAATGAGAATATAGAAAGTGGTACTGCCTTGGTTTACCACAAGTGCATGTGAAATCTTGGAGGATTACCACATGCATCCTCGACTCTCGAATCTCACCGTCGGACGTTGTACCGCTCCTATGCTCAACCTGATAAGTCCCTGTGGCATGGTCAAAACATATAATCTCATGTGTGCCAGCCCTTTCATTTGCCTTCTCTAGGTGTGCCTTTGGTTTCGGAGCTCATAACTCTCCATCACTCCACAACTTCAATGCATGGGCGTGTCTATCGTTGAACCAGGCAACAAGCTTGTAGGTGAATTGAACGATTGCATTCATGGGCATACCACGTATCCCCAATAGCAACTTATTGAATGACTCCGCCATGTTGTTGCACTGAAACTCGTACCTCTATCCACTGGCGTCGTGAGCTCTTGTCCATTTCTCCAAATCCCTCATCAAACCTGTGAGCCATTGTCTACCTTCTGCATTTGATGCGTTTCTGATCTGCTCCAACTTTTTCTGAAAGTACTTGTCCTCAAGCTGTCGAGCAGCCTCCTGGAACAGATCAAAGTTATCCTTCACACCATCTTTCCGGAGTAGATTCTCGGCAAGGTGCCGAGTACACCAACGATGGTGCAAAGGTGCATACCCCTCTATCTGCTCTCGTACGGCATTAAGTATGCCCTGGTGCCTATCAGATATGACGCCAACCTCCCTACCAGGCCCAACCACATGTATCCGGACTAGCCTCAAGAACCATCCCCAACTGTCATTCTTCTCCTTCTCAAGCAAAGCAAATGCCAAAGGAACCAACTTGTTGTTCGCGTCACAAGATATGGTTATAAGAAGTGTGCCCTGATATTTGCTAATCAAGAACGTACCATCAATAGAGAAGACGGGACGACAGTGCCTAAAGGCCCCGACACACTGAGGGAAACACCAGAAAGCACGAAAGAATATCTGCCTCCCATCCTTCCATGCATTTGGTTTTGGGATGTACTCATAATGCATGCCTAGATTCACCGCTTTGATTGCATTGAAAAGTACTGGCAGCTGCTCATACCCATCCTCCCAGTCCCCATATATCATCTTCCACGCTCGCTGCTTAGCTCTTCAAGCTTTACCATAAGTTATCACATAACCTTCACACAACGTCTCAACGGTCCTAATAATTGTCCTAACATTCATGTTGGGTTCTCCCTGTAATATTCCCATCAACCACTTGGCAATGAGGGTAGATGTCAATTGTCGATGCTTCAGTGTCAGCACATGGTCAGCACAATTGTGTGGCCCGACAACTTTTGTGATCTTCCACTTTTCGGTGACCTTTTGCTTCCTTGCACAAACCCTCCATGGGCAGCGTTCCTTGTCACACACAACTGTGTAACGGCGCTCCACATATGAATGCAAGACCTTGTAAGGTCTCTTTCGTATCACTGCAAACGCTTGCAACCACCTCTTCAATACAGGGAGGTCCTTGAATACCCTACCCTTCTCAATTACCATGTTAGGGCCGGCCTTAGGAGCTTCTAGGAGCTCATCATCACGTCCTTCTGCACACGGCTGATCGAAATGAGCAAGATCGCTGAACTCGTGAACTCTTGGATCACGACGGCAGGGAAAGATACGCCTCAGCATCTCAAGATCACTCTCTGTCAGCTCTCCAATAGGACGATCATCATCAGAATCAAGAGCCCTTGCCATCTCATATGGCTCCGAATCATTCATAATTTCAACACTATTGGAGCCATGGAATCCATCTCCATAGTGCACTTGTGCAGCAACAGTGGGTACATCCACATTGTTAGGAATGTCTCTTGCAATATAAGTATAAAAATAAGGAAAGAATAAAAAAAATAGATGTAAGGAAGGGGGTAAGCTCCCAATAACCATGCAGATAAGGCACTTACTCGGATGATTCTGTGTCAAAGGGATCTCATGAGAAGGATCTGCCACAACATCATGAGTCTAACAAGCATCTCCAACTAGCTCATTGGGGGTAGATTGAGCATTGAGAACCGTAGGTGCAACCTCCACATCCATATCAGGTTCTGGGACAGGAGGGTCGAAGTGTGCCTGCTGACCCATTGGTGAGGAAAACCCATGAGGGATGGGATCAACTAACACCCGACGCACAACCACGTCCAAACATTGAAACTGGCACTTCATAGCCGATCTCACATAGTTCTCCCACTGGTCTGCACATCCAATTGGGATCATCTTCCTTAGGATGTTGGGAGGGGAACCTAGGTGAAGTACACCCTCTACTGCGATGCCATCATCATCATCATCAGCTCTATGGCAATGTAGCTCCTCCCGAGCCCTTGCAACCAACTCACTAAATGAAGGCTTCTCATTGAATAACACAGTCACGCTTTGCATCTCAACAAACTCAACATATTCATAGCGATCTCTTTCCACGGTGCCTCCATGATATATGCTCACTAGGTTGTCCATCTAGTAGTTTAAACAAAAATTGAAATACAGTTCGTTTAGTCCAAAGTAGCTGCTATATAGTACCTCTCTGATAGATACTAACCAACTACACCCTAAATAACTATGTCACTGGCTATCTAACTATATTTATCTCACTAACTAAATCAACTAGCTATCTAATAACTATATCTATGTACCTATGTCACTAGCTATCTAACTATATTTATCTAACTATATCTATCTCACTAACTAAATCAACTACCTACATCATCAAATTTACTAGAAACTACCAAATAATCAAAGTAGCACTACAATTCAAGCTAACTAAGTACCTACATTGCATATTAAAAATTTTTACCTATCCAAGTCAATGCAACGATGTGACGCGGACGCCGGGACCGGAGCAGGACGGGGACGCGGAGGACGGGATCGACGGCGAGGTCGCGGCGCGCTGGGAGCAGGGGCCGTGTCGCGGTCGGGGTCACCGGAGGGAGCGCCTATGCGCGCGGCGGACGCGGTGAGCTAGGACGGACGAGGCGGCGCGGGCCGGGAGGGGCGGCGCACGGCCGGCATGGCGGGGGCCGACGCGGGCGCGGGCCGGGAGGGGTGGCGCGTGGCGGGCGCAGGACGGTCGATGCTCCGTGCAGCGGCGCAAGCGGGCTGCGGCCGCGGGCGGCCAGCACGGCGGGGGCGGGGGCGGACGCGGGGGCCGGCGCGGCGGTGCGGCAACGCTGGCGGCGCCCTGGCTCTAGAGCGGGAGAGAGAGAGGGAGAGAGAAAGGAAGGGAGGGCGCATACGTAAGACAGGGCTCGGCGCCAATAACCACGGCGTCAAGCTCGCCGCCAAGATCTACGGCGTCAAGGTGCATGCTAAGTCACCGCCACGTCTGCGCCGAGCCCAAGACCTAGGCGCCAAAATTTATGGCGCCGAGACGTGTAAGCTCGGCGCCACCAACTATGGCGTCGAGTTAAGGGTCCATATTTTGAAAGCATACCTCCAGAGACATTTGTGAAAAATTTGCAAAAAAAAAAGGCTAAAAAACAAAAAAATCGGACAAAGAGACAGCAAACTGAAGGGAAAAAGGAAAGCTAGTCCCATACCCATACTCAGCTCATCAGGATTGGGCACTTGGCAAGTAGCGCCAATCGAATCCCCAGTCTCCCGAAATTATATCATAAACAGCGAAAACATAGACCACCGAAAAATTTGGCAGCCGATTTTGCATGCAGGACAAAAGCCACATCAAAACCAAGGATAGAGACATAACGACACAAGTGCCCAACATTAGCAAGGTAGCATTGTCGATTATGCACAAGGGAGGATACCAATTCTTTGTCTACTAAAAGCACATAACAAGCTAAACAGTTATTTGTTGCTCATAAGCAAAGGCCAAAACTTGCAGCAACCTGCTGATACGATCAGTCTAGTCGTCAAACAGGCTGAAGCCCATTTCGTCATCCGACTCCTCGGCAGGCTCAGGCGCCTCCTCTTCTTCCTTGGGAGCAGCTGAAGCACCAGAGTCAGCAGCAGCAACTGGGGCAGCAACAACAAACTTGCTTGGGTCCTGCAATTCAGCAGCATCACAAAATTAGAATTAGATTCGGACCATCTCAGACAACCAACTGCAATACACACTATTCACTTCAATACACTCATTGCTGCACAAGTGATAGGCTATGCACGAAGAAATATCTCTACAAACATTTCTAAGTTTCTCGAAACAAGCAGCCAAAGCAGATCTATCCAAGGGCTTCAGTCGTTCAAAACCATTCCAACGGCACAACTATAAGGAGCAAGAGGAGTTACCTTCAGGTACTCCTTGATCTTGTCAGCATGCGGGTACGAGTAGTCTGTCTCCACAGCAACAGCAAGCACATTCTTGTACCCGTTGATGAACATGTGAGGCACAGCAGCAAGGGTCGGGTACGAGAGCGCCAGGGACAGAGAGGCAACCACGGAGACACCAGCGGCGAACTTCTCAACCAGGTCCTCCTCAGTCAGGTCAAGCACCTCAGGGCTGAAGACTGGTCCATCCTCGTAGACACTGGTGATCTGAAGACCGTATGAGAAGGGGCGGATACCCAACTTGGCGAGCAGAGAGCAGACTCGGATGAGCCCACCTTGTCACCCTTCTTGATCAGCTCCACGGGGGTGATGATTTCCACAGTACCCTTTAATCTTGGTGGGGATGTTAAGCACCTGAAACAAACAATTGAGTGAGAAGTAGCCATCATGTGCTTTTAACTGTTAGTCTTACAGAGATGTATTGCTCGCAATGCTCACCTGGAAGAAAGAGGTCTGGGAGGGATCCAGCCCAGTGTTGCCAGGGGGCACAACAACATCAACAGGAGCTACGAGCCCAACACGAGCAGGAGCCCCAACCTGTGCAGAACACAATGAGAATTATGACATTGGTATTCTAGACAAGCATTAGATCGACAGTGATACTACGTCTGTAACAGCACATATCCTACTCAATAACACAAATACTCCAATATTTTTGTCTAACCAACGACACAGAAAAATAACAGAAATTTGTAACGTGAACTGGGAACTTAACCTCGTTTGCCTCCACCAGAGATGTTTTTTCCACGATCATGAAGATGTTTTTTCCACGATCATGAAGCTAGTCGGTTCATCACATGGAAACAAATAGCCTTCCTAAACAACTGCTACAAAACACTGACAGGGAAGGAACAAGAGATGCGAGGAAAGTCGAACCCACCTTGTACTTGGCGACCTCCTCGCGCACCTCCTTAAGGTCGCCCTTGGTGAAGATGAGGCCGACGTTGCCGACGAGGAGGTCCATGAGCGGGTCGAAGGCCTTGTTCCCCGTCTTCTCGGCGTAGACCTTGATGCATCGCCTGATGAGCGTGTTCTTCCCCATGAGCACGACGGAGTCGCCCCTGAGGCCCCGGCGGATGTCCTGGAGCTGCTTGGAGCCGACATTGTCGGCGAGGGCGATGAGCACCTTGGTGTACTCATCCAGCAGGGCGCACAGCTTTTTGTCGTACGCGATCTTCTTCTCCGCCTTGGTCCGCTTGATCGCCATCGCTGCAGAGGAACGCTAACCCTAGCGAGTGGAGGACGGACCTGTGGAGTGGAGATAGATACAGGAAGGAGGAGGACCAAGCCTTCGGAAGGGCAAGGCGGACGGCTTTCGGCGGCGGGCGGTGGCGTCGCTTTAACCTAGGCGATGGGCGGAGGCGGCCGTGGGTTTTGTAGGGACGGAGGCGAGGGCGATAAGGTCGCTAACTAGACTGCTATTGGGCTGGGTCTCATCAAACCGATTTGCATGCAGGCCTAAAGGGCCCACAAATCATTCTCTCAAATTCGCTCACCAGGTCTACACGGCCACGTGAATTTAGACCCAACTTGACTCTCTCGGAGACTTATTTTCTAATAGTTTTTTTGTCTTGTGTTTGACTAACGACAAACCTAGAATAAAAGATGACCGTATTTAAATATTTCAATTAAAAAAATGTTGGATGGTTTTTAATATGAAAAGATATAAAGCCACTCTTAGAGTTGCTCTTAGTCTCTTTGTTATCTTGCCATTTCTCTACTTTTCTTGGAGAAGGAAAGTGTGTCGCTCTGTTTCCTATTTTGCTTCATTTTTTTAAGGAAATGTGACAAATGGCCCTCTCAAGGCTATCCCAACGCTACAGCCTAGCTTGGAGTCCCATTGTCCACGTCGTTGCCGAGCGTACAAATCAGCATCATTGGTGATTTCACAGAAGAGTACACTATCATGGTATTGTTGGATTTATCATCAAAGTGCCAATGTTTGATATTCCCTCCGTCTCGAAATAAGTGAACATCTCACACCTTGACGAGTCATCTGATCTTAAATTTAACTACATTTATAGAAAATAGTATTAACATTTGTATCTATAAATAGATTTACTAAGAAAATATATGGTGTGGCTAATCTAATGATATCAAACTAGTTAAACTAAAGATTGATTGACTCCTCGAAATACGATATATGTGAATTTTGGGACATAAGGAATATTCCAGAAGGTAATATTAATATGTCATAACCTAGTATATTATCTGAGGACCATGACTCCAAGTGCTTTTGAATCAGCATTTTCGTCAAAATGATGGAGAGCTTGCGTCATTCAGCCTGTTCGCTTGTTGGTTTCAGCCAGCCCAAACCAGCCAGCCAACAGTATTTTTCTCTCACAAAAAACCAGCACCAGCCAGCCCAAACCAGCACCAGCACCAACCAGCGAACAGGCCCATTCTGGTATTTTCTCCTCAAACTGTTTGCGGTTTTTGATCATTAGAGCTAGAGCTAGATAGTACTGCACTAGGTATAAGTGCTAAAGTGCTACTAAAATTTAGACCGTAGAATCCAAAGAGTCTTAGTTACGGTTTCTGCTCATTAAAGCTAGTTAGTCCTGCACTAAGTATACAAATTTGGAAAGCAACATATTTTCGTTAATTAGAAAATGTATTTATTGTTCTCGTTGGCTCAGCGATATCGTCGGCTGGCCAGTCGCTCGGTTCAATCGTCGTTGGGCGCTCGAGTGACAAACTGTGGATGGAGGACTGAGTGAGGTAAAAATAAAAGAAGAGATTTTTTTTTAAGTCAAAACAGATGACAGAAAAAAAAATGTTATTACGTCGACAGCAGGATTCGAACCTGCGCAGGCAAAGCCCAACAGATTTCGAGTCTGTCTCCTTAACCACTCGGACATATCGACGTTTTTAACATCATGGAAATGGTGTGCTATATAACTAAAAAGTAAAGGCCAGGACATCATTAAATCCGTTTATTCCATGGTCTCATACTCATGCAAGATCACCATATCAAGCCTTCGAGCTGAGAGAGCCATGTGCTAGTACATGATATGGTACTAGCAAGTTTGTTCAACTCCATATCATATTCTATCAAAAAAAAAAAAAACTCCATATCATGTGCACATGCCAATTTACAGTGTCCATGTGTCTGATTTCCTTCCGTGTTCATTTGTTTGGGCTGGTTTGACTTATAAGGCATAGCTAAAAGTATTATTGATTGGTTTAGTATGAGAGAAAAATATTATTCGTTGACTGCTAAGCCATACCTTATAAGCCAAATTAGAACAAGCGACCAGGCTTGTCCACCGAACTTCCGTCTGTGAAATGGAAAAAAAAAAGGGGTCTTGCAGCAGGAAAATGTCACACCAGCTCTTAAAAAAGAGAGAGCCTAGACTGATGCGCCGTTCAGTACACCTGACTTGTCTCGGCCGACTGGCGGAGTGTTTTTTCATGCCACCAAGAAATCTGATCTCAAACAGAACCAACCTCACTGTTACAGATACAGATCACAAGCGTAGCTGCGTAGCGTTGCAAATGCCGCCTTGTGACAAAGCAACTCATGAAAAGCCAAAACGACAGAAAAAAAAAAACTAACACATATCAAGACGGTATTTTGCCTTTCCTCTTAAACAGTAGCAATATACGAGAGAGCTTTTACATCAGTAAGGTAACACACAGTATGGAAAAACAGAAGAGCCTAAAAGAAAGTCTACATGTCGTATCTAGCTGGTGAATATAAGGAGAGAAAAAATAAAGAACATAAAAGGAATACACAAAACTAAAAGGAAGGGGGGGGGATCCTGTCTTGATTGTCACTGCAACGAACCCCCACATTACTGAAGGCAGATCTCGGCACGCAATATCCATGTAATCTTTGGCGCAACTTGTTCAGGATGGCATCAACCAGCAGCCTAAGTGGACACCTGATAACAACAGGGAGTTGAAATTTAGAACTATCATGCCGCTGGAGACGTGCTTCAAACTTCTGCCTTGCTGGGAGAAATCACCTCTAGGAGCAGGCATAGTGCAGCAGATGGAAACTATATTACAGGCATGTCAGCTTCCAGGTTCTTATAAATTGCCCAGCCTGTGGGGTAGTTCAGTTGAGGAGGTTCCAGGTTGAAATTCCAGACCATGACCCTATTGCAATTGTCTGGAAGACCCTCTATCTGGCGCTCATTTTTAACAAGCTTTTCTATAAATCGTGATTCCTGCAAAAACACATGTCAGGTCAGACCACATAGCTTTGTTCTATGTCAAGAAAGATGGCCATGGTGCATTTGCAATTGGTGGCAATACTTGCTTGAAGAGATCCTTAACATACTTATGGTTTTTATCTATTGATTTTGCCTCCATTACAATGTTTTAAAAAACGCTAGACGCTAGGCGTGCGCTAGCCTAAAGTTTAGAGTTTTGGAAGTTTAAACGAGATTAAACGTGATTAAACGTTTTTGGTTTTTTTTATTTTTGTGATTCTGAGAGCAAAATCAGTACTAATAACACAACTTGAAGTAATAACAGTGATCACAGATTAGCCCCCACTCCCAGCCTATATCAGATGATTTCCTCTTTAGGTGGTTGGCAACATCGGCGGCTTCTGGAGCCGGTGCTGCAGTACCAGCAGCAGCTGCAGCTTCGGAAGTCGACATCCTAATCCCAATCCAAGAACAAAAGTAGCATAGTAAGGACCAATAGATCAACGCATCCTAAGGACTAAGGAGCAATACACATTCAATCTTAACCCTAAAATAAATCCCCAATCCAATTCATCAGTTCAGTGATTGACATGCGTTTAATTGAGGTCAAAGTTTAATTGAGCGTTTACCCCCTAAACGCAACGTTGGGCCAAAGTTTAGCGTTTAAACAGGATTAAACGAAGTTTAATAACGTTTTTTAAAACATTGCTCTATTATAAATCTATTATTTCATTGCAAAACCGAATTCTGCGGTATGTTGTTCCACCACAAGATTGGCCACTTCTATAAGAATGGAGAGCTGTAAACTGAAGTTTCGCTAAGTAGTAACTATACCAACTAGGATCAATTTTCAACATAGATGAGTCCTGACTTTACACAGAGTTCCATCAGCTATGTGAAAACTACTGTAACCTTACTATTGCAGTTCATGTATTAAAACAAACTCACCTGCAAACCACCTTTTCCACCTGAGTGGACTATAACAGAATCCATAGGTGGGCGGTTCCATCTTTGAGGGTCCCATAACATTGTACTGTTGAAAGCGAATGCAGAGAAACCAATTGGGAATCGACGAGTCAAACTCTTCTTTTGAACTGTCTGGACTGTGTGCCATCTCATGACTCGATTACCTTTGCAAATAGGACCTTCCAAAACTGCCCTATACTTAGTTCCAACATGGATTGCTACAGGCCATGAACCAAAACGCCTGAAAAACATAGCAAAGCTCATGAGAAGGGAAGCAGTGATGTCTCATTTAATTCTACTGAAATATGGCTAGCAGATCTTTTGAGTTTTGACCTGAAACTTCTGGTTAATGTTTTCAGGGAGCATTGTGGTTTTCTAGCTCCATCATTCCAATCAAGACTATGTGATGCTTACAGTCTTATGTGTCAACAAAAAAAAAACTATCTTTAACTGCTTATATGAGTCATCAAAACAATTTGTAGATAATAAGTTCATTGCAAATATATCAGCACAGGGGAAAAAAATGTGGTAGAGAGTTCTGACCTGATTTTCTGCATTTCTTCAAATACATAAGCTGAGTATGACCGCTCTTCATCAGCAAAATGCATTATACCATCAAGGTGATGCCTTTTGACATGATATATTGCATTATTCCTTTGACACACAGCAATCTTTCGTACACTCGTGGTATTCTTTCTACATACAAGATGCCTGTACATAACCCCAGAAGACCTCAGAATTTCTGCTGTTTCATAGGACTGTTCAGGCCATTCCACCACTAACCACAAAAGAGGTGCCTGTACAACTTTCAAAACATGGGCTAGCCGATTCAAGTAATATGCCTGCTGTGGCCGAACAGAAGTGATTGTCACGATTATCAGCAGCTTCTTCATGACAATGTCAGATTCTTCAATACCAGGTAACGCAGGTGCCGATTCAGCAAAATCTGCCTCATCATCCAACATTGCAGGAACTGGAGGGCTCTCTTGAACCTGAGGCTCGTCAATCAGTTCGACCTCTTTCTCTACTACAACTGTCTCCAGCTCCTTAACTTTGGTACCCATCGTTTCCGTCTCAATCACACCCTCATGGAATGGAAGCCTCTCGTTTTCAGATACTATTTTCTTGTAAATGTCGACAGAGAACAAAGGCATGAACCCAATGAAAATGCCAACCATGAAAAAGAACAACAGATGGACTGCAACTCGCCTGCAGCTCAACCCCTTTGATTTTGATCTCTCCTGTGATCTACTATGCCTCTGGGAAGTCATAGCCATGTACGCTGACTTTAGCTTGCTCCACAGCAGGAAAAAGTCCAAGGAGATCACCGAGGCCAGCAACCCCCTCATTGCGACATAGGACTGCGAATACAGCAGTTTTGGAGATGGCAAGGGATCGTTGAACTCGGACCAGTCCCTAACCGACCCTTCCCGTAGGATAACCCCGCTGTTCCTTCGACTGGACGCCATTCCAGAATCAAGGCTTCGTGATGCATGTACTCCTCCTGAATTACTCAAAAGCACGAGTCCATTAGTCCACGGTTGCTGCACTTTCTATCCCTTTCACTCATGTGAAGCCGTGGATGCAGTATTTTTTTTTCCCTGATGAAGTAATCAATTGAATTGTACCTGCAAAACAACGTGTTGCGAGAAGTGCGTCAGCTGGGCTCAGCTCAAGATCAATCAATACATGCTCAAGCTAATCCATAAAGCAGGCTAAATTGAAACATTTCCCTGGAGCACCGATCCAAATTGCAGGAGAGCAAGATCCAAAGGTAAAGGCGCATATGGCTCTAAGAACTTGAGAAGATCATCACCAAGGAAAAACCAAACATTTCTCCCTTACAAGCAGAGGCGGACCTAACTAACGGGCATGGGGGATCAGCTGAAACCGCAAACTTCGGAAAATTAACTGCTACCATCACTCCACCGCGCAGGCGCGCAGCACTATCAGCATCGCAACTATAGCTGGGCGGATCGGATTCTTCTTGTGCAGGACAAAGCAAGCAAGCCAGCAACCCGTCCAAGCAAGCAAAAGGCTTCCTTACCAAGGAGGGAAGACTAGCAACCAGGCCCGGGCGGGATCTCCAATCCACGTCGGTGAGAGCAGGAAGCGGCGGGCCGGCGGCGGCGCGAGGACGCCTGATCCAGATGCAGGGGGGGCTGCTTGCTTCGCGCACGGCTCTGCCGCCTGCTGCGGTGGAGTGGAGGTGGCTGGTTCGGCCCCCTCCCCCTCCCACCACGCCTCTCCTTTTCGGAAACCGCGGCCCGTGCTGTTGAGCTGTTCCCGGCTCCGGCTTGACTTCTCCTACCCTTCCTCGCTTTCTCTCTCCACGCAAACCGAGACAGGGGGAGTTGGTGAGGGGATGGGTGGATAGAGAAAAAGGAGCTCCGCGGGCGCGGAGGCGGACGGGGAGGGAGACGAGTAAACAAATGGCGCGCCGGTCGCCGTCGGTCGGTCTGGTGAAGTGGACAGCGGAGGTTAGTTGCGTCGCCGGTTGCAATCCAGCCCCTGGATTGTTGCGGTTTTACGGACGGTGACCGCTGTTAGCGACTCCCGCGTGCTGCTAGGCCGGCGCACGGTGTTCTTTTGTACCGCAGGTTATGACTTGGTTAAATGGGCACATGGAAATCTTGGAGCTTGGTACGATAGTCGAGAGTACATCTAAATAGATTTGGATCAAATTAAATGTTCAAATTTGACTAAATTTATAGAAAATAATTTTAATACTTGTGTCTCTAGATAGGTTTGTTATATAAAAATATATTTCATGGTCAATCTAATGATATTAATTTAGTAGCATAAATCTGTTATTTTTATATAAACCTGGTTAAATTAATTAGTTAAACTCTTAAAAGTAAGAATTGAGAGACTGTATAGCAATAGAAGAAGGTGTAGTATGTGAAATTTGGATATGCAAGTTCCAAAGTAGATTCTACGGTGTCATGCGCATGGATTTTGACTTCCTTCGTCCTAGCGAGGGAGACGGCCTAGATGCGATTATGAAGCAATAGAAAATTAGAGATTATTTCAATGTATCTTTCATGCCCATCAAACTCGATGTGTGGTACGTTGTGTGTTTGATTTGATAGCGTGGAAAGTTATTACCTCATCAGCTCTGCCATAATATTTACACTTTTTTTGTAAACCGCTAAATTGTCTTCTAGACATGGCCACGCATGCTAACGATATATGGAACTACTCATTTTGACCTTAAATGTAGGTTGGACTTATGGACAAGGATTAATAAAGAAGATCAAATGATCTTAATACCCATCGTTTATACTGCTTTGGTATGTTTGAGGAATTACATAGTACAGTCTCTTTCAAATTATTAGATGTCGTGACTTTTTCTAGATACCTCATTTTTACTATTTATTTAGATATAGTGTATATCTAACTGTATATAAAAAAACTACGTATCTAAAAAAAAGTTATAATATCTTATAATTTAAAATAAATACGATAATAAAATAGATCAAAAGACTTTACTGCACTTCATTTGGTTGTCTCGAAGTTTGTGGGCCCAATGTCAAATTTCTAAATTAGCCCCTTAACATGTCCGTGTCAAAGCTTTTTTTTGTCCGTAAACCATGCAAGTTAATCGGCCTGTTCGCTTGTTGGTTTCAGTCAGGGTTTATCAGTCATGGTATAGTATTTTTCTCTCATAATAAACCAGCACCAGCTGAGCTTCAGCCTGTTCGCTTGCTCGTAAACGATCGTAAATTTCTAGTCAGGAACAGTGTTTTTCTCTCCCACCAAACCAGCCAGCAGTAAATAATCTACGATACGATACGGCCTCCCGAACAGGCCACTTATCAGCCCAGAAACCAACCAGCGAACAGGCTGAATGTCAAAACTAGTGACAGAAGTGTACTTTTGTACATGTTTTCGCCATATTCCTTGAGTTTTCTTTACAGTACCATGATTAGCTTTGGTTGTAACTAATCATAGCTCTTAATAGGGGGATTAAACTTGGGATTGGGGGAGGATTTGTGCACCGCTCACCTAACGCTTGCCAAAGCGAACAAGACGTCTAAACCCCCAGCAAAACAGGCTTAGAGCGAGGCTAATAGTTATGGCCGGCCGAGCCTTCTCTAAATCCATTCATATAATAGTTAGCTCTTCATTATTAATATATGACCCACTTATCTTTCTCATAAAGTTTTTTAGTTTTTATGCCTAAGCCAGCTGTAAACTTATAGTCCGTTTCTCATCTCTCCTCTTGTTTTTTTCCTACACCTCAGCGTTTAGCTAGCTCGCTCGAGCGATCGAGCCCGTCACCTGTCATAGGACTAGGGATAGTCAGCATGTTCGCTTGGTCGTAAACGATCGTAAATTTTCAGCCAGAACAATATTTTTCTCCCACACCAAACTAGCCAGCAATAATAATCCACGATCGTAAACGATCGTTTCAGCCCCAGCCGATCAGGTGAGTGTCTGGACAGTGGACACAAAGAACGAAGTCTAAAAAAATCAGGCCAATCTTGCCCAGCTAGAAATGGTTTTTTTATTTGTTTTCCACTCAAGAATATCCCACGGCCTTTCCAAGCCAATTCGTCCAATAGTCCAATCTATGACATCGATACTGCCACGTCATTAAAAAATACTAGATTCTTCAGAAAAAAAAACAACTGCTACAAGACATGATATCATGTTACTATATCCAGTGCTATCATAGTAATTGATTGTTTCATGTATTTATGTCTATGGAAGTGGGTCCAAACTATTAAAATTAATTTTGAACTGTTGAATTTCATGACAAAGCTATAAAAATACCTTATTTCTTTGCCACAAACAAAACATCCTATGTGGCGTTTAATAATGTGTATGCATTGAAGTAGCATAATAATAGACACGAATTTAAGGCCTGGAATTTTTGGCTTTTTTCAGCAACGCAAGCAAAGAAATATTTACCACGGACAAACCTATATATTTCAAAAGAAGAGTCATTCATTTTTTAAGTAGTATAATAATTAAGCAAGGGCAATGGGATAAGAAAAAGGGTAAAAGATATATAGAAGTTCTAATGATAACTTACGTTAAAAATATTAAGAAGACTAAAACGATATATGTTTCGGATCAGAGGTAGCACTAGACTTGTTTATTGTCCATGTCATTATCATGGCAATAATAGTCTCTTCTAAAACAAGTCATCTCGGTGACATTTTTCTACGCGATTTAGTGTTATATATGTTCACGATGTTAAGACCATTTCCTTTTGACTTGTACTAGATACACGCGTGGAGTATGTCAAATGTGCTGACTGCTGAGTAGAATTGGTCTAGTAGAACAAAGAGGTGAAATCATATGCATGCGGTGCTTTTGATTAGATATTCTCTAGAAGAAGAGAACCAGCAGTAGGTGATACCCAAAAATAACCCAGGAAAGTACCAAATGCCGAGTCTTTGTTTACAAACTCGCTAATTCCGAGGCAGCGGCCGAGTATTAAATATAGACTAATTACGAAACTAAATGCATAGATTGAGACTAATTTGCAAGACAAATTTATTAAACCTAATTAGTCTATGATTTGACAATGTGGCGCTACAGTAAATATGTGCTAATGATAGATTAATTAGACTTAATAAATTTGTCTCATGTATTACTGACTATTTCTATAATTTATTTTATTATTACTATTAAACACCGTGACATCTCTTAGACAACTTGCCATGCGATGTCCCTGAATCAAACACCACTAGGTAGAGAGCCAGTGGCCAGCGCAGACTCCACTGCCGGAGTCATCCTGCAGCCTGCCACGCCCGTGCCATCCTGAATGCGCGATGCATGGGCACCGCACGGCACGGGACCGGACTCCGGAGAGATATCGGCTGCTGACCTGCTGTGGTCATACTCATACATGGGCTGATGGGCAGCAGAGCAGGCTGCAGGCATGAGGCATGGCTGGCTGGTTCTCCCGGTTGTCCTTGCCCCGTCACCCCTCACCCGCACGAACACTCGGGCCCGGCCTTTGTTTGAGCTCTGAAGCGGCGTCTCCTGCCGCTGCACACGCACAGCACAATGAAGTGGCCTCGGAAAAGAACACATGCACCGGAGAAGCTCGGAACGTGGCACTCCGGTTGCTCCTTTCACCTGCCGGCAGCGCGGATCGGAGAGCGAGGTTTGGGACAGATAACCAGTTCTCCACCTGAAAAAAGTGGTATGTCTGGTCAAATCACCCAAAAGAGATGTGAGGTGGTCTGTTAACACACGTGTTGCCCGTGATCTTCTTATATGTTGAGCACTTGAGCTGGTGCTATCCACTGTCAAGTACTCTTAGCAAGTAGGAGTAGTATGCCTTGAAAGAAAATGAGAAGTTGCAAGACTGTTCTGAGTTTTGACCGATGCCTGAACATCCGCAAATCTTGTCAAAGAGCCCGCTGCAAAAATGCATTGGGTGGCAATGGCAATGGCATGCACTGCAGCTCCACTATCCCAGTGAATGCTAGCAGGTACGCAGCGAGTA